TGCCTCACTAGTAGTAACAAGTGCCTCGCTAGTAGTAACAAGTGCCTTCCGCACGGACCCTCTCCACCACCCGCGCGGGTGACGCCCGCCCACTCCGGACCGACCCATCGAGCTTCGCAGGGCTTCCGCCTGCGCGCCGCCGAGCTGCGGCGCCTGGGCGGCGACGGGGACGAAGCGCTCAGCACCGCCCTCTGCGCGTACCTCACCGCCGAGGCGACCGGTGACGAGTGGGGCGGAGCGCTGAAGCGAAGGCGAAGCGAAGTGGGACAGGAGGAGTCTGAGGAATGGTGACTGGAGAAGTTGCCCCAAAAAAACGTGCACCTCCGACAACGTGATGGAAACAAGAGGGTCCAACTTGCTCATTTAAAGTTGTCTATGGATGTCTTTTAACCTTCAGGCCTGTTTTTTGTTCTGATTCCTTCTCTTATCTATTAGGAACAAGAAGCTACTAGTAACAAGAAGCTATCCATTTTGGATCCTGTTTCTTTTCGGATCTCACTCCGACAGCACGCGGCACCAGGGCTTCACGGGATGCAGTCGCAGCCCGGAGGAGTTGCGACGCGCGAGCGGCACCAGCGGCGTCTTTAGACGCACACCAGCGGCGCAAAGGTGAATATTTGCGTCCTTGCTCCTAGTAACGATGCCCTTTGCTCGTAGCTTCTTGTTCCTAGTAGTAAGGCCAGGAACCCCTAGTAGCTTCTTTTTCCTAGTTAGCAAAGGTGAGCCATGGCCTCCAACCTAGTGATGGCCTCCAACCTGAAGCAAAGGTGAGCAACAATGTTTATTCATGAAGAACAGATTCCTTGAGTCCACAAGTACTACCGTGTTTTGCCAATTGGCTATGTGTTCCTAGTAGCGTCCGATCGCTCCTGTGGAAGTCACATTTCGCATGTTGGATCCGGTCAGGTGGCCTCCACAAATATGGCCTGCTGCATATCTATACCCAGGTTTTTTCGACAACAGCGACATGTCCCTCCTTGGATCCGATGATATATATATGCCGACGGTGGACGTGCAGCTGCACGTCCCCCCGACCGAACCCTTCTTTTTCGTGGCACACGGATCCGAGTGGAGCGCAGTCAACCCGTGCCGAACCCGTGCCGAACCGGTGCGGTTGTTCGATGCTTGGTCCGCACCATTCAGCCAAGTACTCGTTGCGTGGGGATGTTTGGTTCGCAGGACTTCTACCAGTCCAAGTACTCGTTGCTGCACAAAGTCTTAGAGAAGCGCCGCGGCATCCCCATCAGCCTGGCGGTGGTCTATCGCGAGGTCTGTGCACAGACACGCGTGGTTGGTGAAAGGAGGACGCAATGGATGTATCTGTTCTTTTTGCGGGTCGAGAGCCGTTCCCTCCAAAACTGGGCAGAACTTGGTGTCGCCCCTGAACACATGAATGTCTGGATCCTCCAGTGAGCACCAGGTGGCAGCTGCTGCCGGGCTGGATCTTTGGGGTGCCAACTTCCCAGGTGGGGAAAATGGCCGCCGAAGGTGACGAGAAAAGCACGGTTGGCTCACCCAACTTTGCAACATGAGTAGGGAGTAGGGTTGATGGATGTTGCATGTGTTGTTTTCCACTGCATCGCAAGCGTTCACGCTTGCCTTGCTGGATATTTTTTTCAGGCTCTTTCCAAAGCCTGCCAGGCAGCAAGAGGAATGTTCTTGCCTTTGCCACTTTCCACCTATCGTATCCTATCGTCACATATGATGATGAGCATATATATATATATATGGTTCGTATTCTAGTAGGTTAGAGGCCATCGCTACTAGGGTGGAGGCCATTGCAAATAGAAACAAAGAACAAGGAAAAGGAAGAAAGGTCTAATTCAGTTTGCTTCTAGGAGCAAGAAGCTACTAGGGGCTCCTGGCATCGCTACTAGGAGCAAAGGATGCTACTAGTTTCAGCTATCTCCACCCCAAAGAAAAGAAAGAAACAAAGGAAACAAATAAAAAGAAAAGGAAAAGGAACAAAGGTCTAATATAGATTGCTATTGACCCTCCAGCTATCTTCACCCCTTCAGCTGCCGTCTTTGAAGGCTATTTCTTCTTGGCCTACGGTCACGGGAGCTCGGCTGGACTGGTGGATGCCTTTGCAGGGCAAAGCGCCCACACCGTGCAGGGCTGCCAGGAGCTGGTCAGTGAGGCCTTCGGCAGGCAGGGGAGATCAGCAAAGCCATGAAACAGCCTCCAACGCCTCCATGGTCGAAGGTGATGTCACTGATGTGAGGGGCTGCAGGGCCGCAGGGCTGCTGGGCCACGTTCGTAGCGTCCGAACGCTCCGGACTCGGTTCGCGATGCCAGTTTCGCCCCGATCGTAGCATCCTTGGGGATGTTTTCGGGTGGAGTTGATGGGATCGTTTGGCGCCAGGGATGGGGTCCAAGCAGTTTTCGAGGGTGCCGCAGTGCCGCATCTGTCACAATCAGCAGATTTGCCGCATCAGTTTCGCACAATTCATCTATCAGTTGCGCCGTTTTGAGCCTCTGCGAGGCAGGACCCACTGTGTGTAAGACCTTCAAGATGGTTTCGGTATCGCCCAATGGGTATCGCCATATGAGCGAACCAAATATGAAAGCAAGGAATTTTGTGGAAGCTCCTCATTCTCTTCTTTCGCGCCGGTGTTCTTCCCAGGCCGGCACGCCTGGCACCCGGCTGGGCAGAGCTCCGCATGCCGCACGGCGCCTTTCTGCGGCGCATGGTGCGGAATCTGGAGCGGCTCGGAGGCGGAGAGGTGGAGATGCTGCGGTGGTGTTGATGTTCGTAAAACCTCTTCTAGCCCATGGGGGGGGTGAAATATCAAGAGTTTGCGGAATGCCATCCGGGAGACCCTGGCTAGCTAGCTGGGGATGGTTTTGGTGTTCCGAACCTTCCTCCCTATTTAAATGCACGCCCTTATGAATAATACACATCCAGGTGACTGCAAACGAGTCCACGTGATGGTCAGTCTTTGGTGGAACCTTTTGCTGGGATGTCCTGTCGCCACAGGATTAATGGCTCATTCGATGAGGACAGCTGACACGGTGTCAACCAAAAGCACAACCGTTCTCGTGGGTTCATAGTTGTTTGCAGGGTGGACAGTGATTTGCACACTCGTAGGGTGGAGGCCATCGCTATTAGGTTGCTGGCCATTGCTAGTAACTAGTAGGTTGGAGGCCATCTGGAAGTCCCCTTCAGCGAGTTTATCAAGTGCATTGTTGAACTTTCACAGCAGCGGGTCACGCAAGCGCCTTCCATTTTGGGGGCGTTCCATCTTCCTCCCCTGAGCGCCCACATTGCCCAGGCATGTCTACAAGCGGGAAGCTAACTTGAGTGCTGCAGCGACCATCACACAATACGCACAAGTGCTCGATCGGACCCTTGAGAATCAACGGTTGTAGAAACATCCGTGACTGAGTAGTGACGAGGAAGACCAAGTTTGCTACAGGGTGGTTTGAGATTCCAAAGAAACAGTGGGTTGTTTGAAATCGTTTGAAGTCTTCTCTCTCTCTCTCTCTCTGAGTTTGCCACGAATCATTTGCATACCGGGTAGACCATGTGAGGCCATCTCAAGATTGATCAGAGCAGGTGTTGTGTAGTCTGGGACCTGTGAGCATTTTCTTTGCGAACGGAGCGATCGGACGCTACTTACTCGGGGCTCCTACTTACTCGCGGAGCGAACCGAGCGAGAAAGGACGCAGACGTTGACATCCGTCGGACTCCGCCGATGCGGCGAGCGAAGAACAGCGCCTCTTTGGCGCGCGGAAAGCCGATCAGCGCGAGCGGACGAAAAGTGTGGCCTGAATTTTCTACATTCGGTCAGCCTGGTCAGTCTGAGATTGCTCGAAAAAGCACTGGAAGCTGCGGTTTGATGTGAGGACGAGTGTGACGTTTGGGAAGTTTTTTTCACCATGGTGACACCTGTTTTGCTTTCTCCGAAATCCACGCCAGGTGTCCAACTTGGCAGGAGATGTCCACCCAGTTGGAACAGCGCCACGGCCGAGTTTCGTCGGACGCTTCGGGCTGAAACCACGACCCTCACGCTGAATGACTGCCGATCTGCAAGGCTCAAACGGATTGGCAGACATCTGAGCCGCCTGACACGGAAGACATGGGGTGTGCCACAACGGTGGGGGTTCTCTTGCAATCTGGTGGGACCTGTTCAAGTCCGTAGTTGATGCTATTCCAAACGTAGTTGATGAACAGGAACGGTGGTCGTCTTGCTCAAATCGGCTGCTAACTACTAGGCAGGTTTTTGGTTTGGCCATCGCTAGTCCTTACAGTTTGGACCACCAGATGCCGCCATCCTCGGGCACTGAAGACGTGGGGCCTTGAGGCGTCCAGGAGACGTGCCAACAGCCATGCCCTATGCCTATGTGAAGCAACGAGGCGCCACCGAGGGTGCATGGCGTCTTAACGAACCAAGTCCACTCGGGCCGAAACTTGATCCTTGACCTCATGGATGATTTGCATGACCGGACCCAGTCAAATGAGCTCCTTGACGGGTCTTCGTACCCTGGCCATACACTGAGGACCCAGAGAAAGAGCGACCAAATCAGCCAGTTGGGGGAAAATCGGAGGTGTCTCCGAACTGGCTGTGGGGAACTGGCACCAGGATACCATGGTCGGGCGAACATGGTGGGTCAGGACCCATCCCCATTTCATCTCGTCAGGCGCAGCTGATGAGATGATGTCCATTGACTCCGCAAGGCTTCGCGAGAACTCGCTTTCTTCAAACGGCGGAATGATTGAGGTCGGAGGGATCCCCTGAGAACGCCAAAGTAAGTGGATTCGGTTTCTTGGGGCAAGAAGCTACTAGGTGGAGGCCATGGCTATTAGGTTGGAGGCAAGAAGCTACTAGTAACAAGAAGCTACTAGTAGCAGTTAGTTCTGAGATGAAGCAAGTCTTTGGGTGGCCCGTTTCATCAATCAGAATTCTATCAGAAGTCAAGCAAGCCAGTTTCGCGCGCTAGCTTTTGGGGCTCACTCGCCCAGGAAGTACTCCTCTTTCAGCAGCCATGAAGACTGGTGGCAGTATATCATGGATCTACAGAGGCAGGGCACTCAACCAGGCCACTCATCTCTCGAAACTCAAAGACCTGTTTCTGTTTTTTTCGTTCCTTTCACCTGTTTCTTCATCCGTTCCAAACTCGAACAGACGGTTTTGTTCCTTTTTGCGTGTGCGACGATAGGAGTCGGGCGGGGTCGGCCCGGAGCAAACGCGACCCGAAAAAGGGGGCGCTCTCTTCAAGGCCATACGACGAACGGAACAAGGTTCGCTATACGAACGGTTGGAGGCCAATGCAAAAGGAAAAGGATGCTTTTTGGAAACTGAACGCCACGGTCACAGGGATGGAAGACCCCAGCTCTTCAACGAGGTCCTCCGCAGAGCCGCGTGGGGCACCCCAGCTCTCAAGGTGCAAATAGTACTCTGAACATGCAAGGCAATACCTTCTGTGAATTGGAGGGAGAGTGCCAGGGTTTATTGAGGATGTTTTGGAAGTATGTTGTTGTGGCCAGAAAAGAAGAAACAGGGAGGCTTTTGTGTGACATATTGGGGATACAAATTATGTTTGTTATTCTATGTTCTTCCGATGTGTGTGAGGCTGCAATTCTCGTGACACGTCCTTTGATATATCCAAACTGTTCCATTTGCTCATTCCAAAGAAGCCAACAAAAACTGCAGGCCACGATGCCTCTACTTCGACCTGGATGGCGAACCCTGTCACAAAGGTCTGGACCTCAGACGATATCATTGTTGGCGCCTCTCTCTAGGCCATCGTAAGTGAGTCAGTGTGTTTTGTTCATGTTTGGTTGGAAGAAACAAATGCTGCTAATATGGAATTTGAAATGCTCCTATAGACGCCATTCTGGGTATTGCCTTCTACGGATTTTAGAGAAGAAGAACACTGACACCGTTCTTTTCCAGCCAATGTCAGGCAATCACAGCTTCCATGTTGAGCTCCTCCAGCAGTTTCTGCGCCGCTTCTTTCTCGGGGACTGGGGTGATGAAGCTTGTCACATCTGATGCGGCGACTTTGATGGTCAAATTTAGGGTCACAACGGTCAAAGGCTACAGCCAGGCTGACTCTCTGTGTCATCCGTTGTCTATGGCCATCCTGAAGCCTAGATTGAAGAAACTCCCGGGTCAGGAGTGCTCAAACGTGTGCGCAGGAGAATTTCTTTCACTTGGAGTTCAACCTGTTTATGTCAAGTTCTTTGATCCCAGAAACCTCATTCTCCCAGGTTCCTGAAAAACATGGCTGTCTGCTCTGCAGAAACGATCCTTCTTTTTCCGACTAGGAACTTCATTGGATGCTTTCTTTGGAGGACTCCTTGGGATGGCAAGCTTGGGATCCGGAGCCCGTTGCGTGGAAGCCCGGCACCGGCACGCGCGGGTTGCTCAATCACGATTCCCAGTGATTTGTGACCGAGTGTCCGATCGCTCCGTTCGTCGCGGTGCCCACTTCCCGCTCCGTTCGTCGCGTCCGGGTGAACAGGCCAGCGGAAAACCGATCCCCAAAAGGAGGGAAAGGAAGAACTGCGAGGCCAGCTACTCCCCGGACCACCGGACCTTCGGGCGATGGCCTCCAAGCTACGCCAGCTGGAGCCATGGCCCCAGCCAGACTCGGTAGCCGGTAGCATGCTGCGTGACTCAGGTGCTTCAATCGCATCAAGAAGAAAAATACTCCTGCCATGTCATGCCGCGCCGGCAGTGTTTGTACCTTTGGAGTCATGTGGAAGGTCAGAGATACCAAGATACGGAAAGCAGAACACATGCAAGCACAATGCCAGTGTAGGTTCCAGAAGTCTTGCACACAGACAGGGTTTATTGAGCTTCATTGGGCCACAGAGACTCTCTGGATGAAGATGACAGGTTTCCGCAGATTCAGTTCAAGGACTTCGAGTCGTTGCCCTGGACGAGTTTTTGTGCGTACCGGAGCCCGCTCCGGAGCATCCCAGATGTGCATGTTCTTCGAAGTGTTGTTTCGTCAATAAGTGTCATCCAAAAAGGTCAGTCTTGGTCGAAGGATCTGCCTGCTTTCAACATCTTCTCCGTGGGAAGCGACTTCTAGGAATGCTGCTCAAACAAACGACGCCCGGGCTCCGCCGAGGCATCAGGAGGAGTATGTGCCTTGCATGTTGCGCTCAATGAGCCACATAGCGCCCGCCTGAGAGTTGGCATCGCGGATGCGGACAACTGAAGGGTTTGTTGTTCTTTTTCTTTAGCCCGCTCCCCCGCCTCCCTACTTAAGTAGGTGCCTAGTTAATTAAGTAAGGGAGAGGTAGCTAGTAGGTACAGGACGCTCCTAGGTAGGTCGCAGGATAGCTCACGCACTAATGATTTGCTTCCTAAATTTTTAGGGAAACCTAACCTTAGGTTGGAGGCCATTGCTATTAGTAACAAATACAAAGAACATCAAAGAACCTTCTGTTTCTTCCTTTGACCTCGCCTAGGGCATCAAGGGTCGATTCGGTGGAGGCGAATTCACATGGAACATGCCGGCGACGTGTCCTTTGAGCCGACCCTTAAGGTGATCCATCCGATGAGATCAATCTGATAGGAATCAGATATCGTATCAATGCTATGCCAGGCAGACGCTTCTCAATCATTCGGATATCGGTCAAACAGATATCAAAGAATAAGATAGTCAGATTCAACTAATCAGATGCCAATTTAATCAGATATAACTAAATAAATCAGATGTTGATCAATCTGACATCACTCAGATATCGATCCGATATCAAGCAGACATCAACCAGGTATCAATCAGATAGCACTCAGGCGAGTGTCAAGCAGAGATCGAGCAGTTGTGACAAGCAGATATGACATTTTGAGATATCTGGTTCAATCAAGCAATGGGTTCCAATCGATGCGATACCCATCTCTCCGTATCAATCCATCCATCCGTTCTTTCAGGGAGAAAGAAAGCACCGCAAGTCTGGCTTTCTTCCGAGGAGTTGGAGCTGGAAGGAGGACACACGGTCAGACTGCTGCAGAAGCTGGTGGATCGCCGGGCCTCAGGGGCCAAGCTGGGGGCCATTCAACGGCCGAAAGGAAAGCGTCAAAGCGTCCGAGGGAGGTTTCACTCGTCTTGTTTTGCTTCATGTCTTTCATTTCTTTCTTTGTCATCTCTCTTCTTGTTCTTGAGACCTTTAGACCTGTCACATGTTGGTTGGCAGTACCTAGCTGTGCGAAGCCTTATGGCCAGTTGCTGACCTCCACAGAGAGAGAGAGAGAGAGAAGAAAGAAAAAACTAGACGACGAGTGGCCCGAAAGCATTTTTCATCACGTAGGAAGTCAGAGTGCGAGTTATCTGTTAAGTGTGTTATAAGTGTTCAGTGTGAAGTGTTAAGTCGAGTGTGTTGAGGCAGTGTGTGGGTCTCTGTGTGTGTGTGTATCTATGTCTGTGTGTGTATGTGTCCCTCTCTGTATGTCTTTCTGAAGCGCGGGAACACCTGTTTTCTGCAAGTTCTTCACCTCTCGAAAGTCACCTGCGCGTAGTAAAGTTGTACTACAAAGTCGCCAGTTCTCATCTTCCAGCTCCACAGATTGCTCCGTGTACTAAAGTTCTACTACCAAGTCGCCAGTTCTCATCTTCCAGCTCCCCAGATACTCCGCGTACTCAAGTTGTACTACCAAGTCGCCAGTTCTCATCTTCCAGCTCCCCGGATACTCCGCGTACTAATGTTGTACTACCAAGTAACCAGTTCTCATCTTCCCACTCCCCAGATACTCCGCGTACTAAAGTTGTACTACCAAGTCGCCAGTTCTCATCTTCCAGCTCCCCAGCTACTCCGCGTACTACAGTTGCACTACAAAGTCGCCAGTGCTCATCTTCCAGCTCCCGAGATACTCCGC